ATCTTTTTCGCTCTTATTTTAATAAAATACGTGATTAATACATCAAGAACTTAATATCAATAAAAACGGTAACAATATATAACATTCTGTAGAAATAATTGACTTTTTATAACTTTTCAAAACTCATATATAATATTGTGAAAATTTTCAGATACAAAAAATGTTACAAATATTGATTATAATACTTTTTATAAATTAATAGAACTTTTATATTAGGTGTCATTCTAGAATATAATATTTTGATATTTAATTATTCAATTTGAATAAAAATACTATTATTTAACTTGTTGAATTTAGACAAATTAAATACTAATATTTTATTCAAATCAAATTACTAGATGTTGAAATATTATATTCTAAAGTAATTAACTCTTATTTATTAATTAATTTTTTGTTAAAAATTATATATTATTTAATTTGTCTAATTAAAATAAATAATATTATTTTTATTTGAATTAAATTACTAAAAATTAAAGTATTATATTTTAAATTAGTTAATTTACTTAATAAATAAATAATTATTTCAAAGAAATATATAATTTTTCTAATATAATAATATTTATAAGTTATTTGTTTGAAATAAAATTTTTTTTGAGTATACCTTAAGTAAATTAATAATGAATTAATAATTAATAATAATCAATAATTAATAATCAACTAAATAAATTTAGATTATCTCTATGCTCTAAGTATAAGTAAATTATATAAATATTTGAACTTGTATAATCAAAAATTTTCAAAAAAATTTAATATATTTATTTTAAAAAAATAAAAAAATAATAATTAATATTAAAAAATAGCTTTGATTATTATATTAATTGTAAATAATTTCTTTTTTACACTTAAATAAAAATAATAATTTAAATTAATTATAAATAAAAATAATAATTTAAATTAATTATAAATAAAATAATATAATATTATATTTATATAAAATAATATAATATTTTAAAATAACATATTTATATAAAATAATATATAAATTTATAATAATTTATAAGTAAATATATTATTTTATTTATAATTATTTTATATTTTAATATATAATAACTTTTAAAATTATAAAGTTATATGTAATTTATTAATAAAATATAATTATTATAATTTAATATATAATAATTAATATAATTATCGAATTATATATAAAATTTTATTGAAATTTTTATTTTTTTTCTGGATTTTTTAGATTTAATTTAATAAATTTATTATAAAAATTATTTTATATTATAATTATAAAAAATTTTTATAATAATTTTGTAATTAAAACAACTTTATCAAATTAATCTAAAAAATCCAGAAAAAATATAAATTAAAATATAAATTATAATTTTTATTTTGGTATAAAAATAAAAAATATTTGTTAATAAAATTTAAAACTTTTATATAAGATAAAACTTTCAATTTTTACTATATTTTATTAATAAGATGTATATATAATTTCACAATTATATTAATTAAATATAATAAAAAAAGTTTATATTTATTTTGTAATTAGAAATATTTCTTTGAATTAAATGCAAAAAAATACATATTAAAATATAAATTATAATATTTTGATATAAAAATCAAAACTATTATTAATAAAGTTTAAAATGTTTTAATAAAAAAAAAGTGATGCATTACTTTTGTAAGCTGTTATATAAATCAAACAATATTTTTAGTTGTGATTATTCAATTTGACTTTTTCAATAAAGATAACTATGGAGATTTGATTGTATTTATCTTACCAAAAATACTATGAATAAATATAAGAATAAAAATACCTTTTTCTTTCTTAATAATAGAAAGATGTAATAACATGACGATATACTATAAATCACATTATCATCAGTCTCATAATTATATGGTTGGAGAATTTTGTGCTAAAATAGCAAAAGTATTCCAACGTCCACAAATACAATCAATTAAATTACTATTTATTAACTTTGGAAAAATTTAGTTGATCTTTTATATTATTGAGCCTTGGCCCTGTTGGCCATACTTGCCTTTATAATAAAAGTTTTTATTTGTTAATTACAATACAAATAATTTCATCTTTTTAAAAATTCGAATCACTCACCCTAGCCACATATTATCATCTATTTTCGTAAAGATTTTAAGTTCATAAATTCATTAAAAATGAAAAATAGACTATCAAAAACCTGTAACGATGGCAGTATGTGCACTTCCACATGAAACTTTTAATACATTCAAACCATCTTCATCATCGTCACTATCTTTGTCAGCGTCATCTTCACGATCGAATTCAATCAAATTTGGTTTGGCAGGATTTATCGATACTAATCTATTGTCATTATCACTTTGAATGAATGACAATGTACTTACACCCAATCGACCATGATTATTCCATCCGAATGTGTATAAATCCTGTGAATCTTTTATTTTTCAATTAGAATATCGATTAATGAATGGAAATAAGAAGAATATTATCAATGAAAATTATTACCGGTGATAACGCCGAATGCCAGCCACCACATGCAATTTCTGTGACCGTCAATCCCTGTAGGAATTCAATGATATTAGATTACCATGTCCTAATTGTCCATATCTATATTAAATTCGAAACAAATCGATCGTTTATTTAATTTTTAAAAAAGTAATTAATAAATATAAAAAATAAATACCTTCCTGATCCTCAAGTAAATACTTCACCATTTCGAGTTAAAGCAAAGAAATGATTTTCTCCAGAAACTACTTTAATAAAATTATTTTCAATGGGATTTAATTCCGATGGTTTAGGAATATAGTCTTCATCGACTTTTCCTTCTCTCACATTCCATTGCCATCAACTCGGATGTTATATAATAATTGTGGTAGATTAATTTATATTCCTACTACGGAAATATAAATATTTTAATAACTACCGGTAATGCAAACATCTCCACCTGTACAACACTGAGCTACATCAACGCATTTAGTAGACAATTCAATGATTTTTTGTCTTGATACAAAAACCCATTTTGATCAATGAACCCTCGTATTCCATGAACTCCATCTCCAAAACATTTTTTCACATTTGTGGTAGATTAGACAAAGTCGGTGATTTTACTCCATTCAATAATCCATCAAATCCCCATTCGATTGGATTTAAATTCATTCTCGTGTTTATTTTTATAGGATTGAATAAATTTAATCATGATATTTATTGATTAGCTTAACACATAAAAATTTGTCCATATTATCTTAGTACATCATATCAGTAGGCTCACTAACAACTATATCTCGACTATTGGGAATTGTTCGAGAGAATGCAACCGTATATTTTCTTACCTATTTTTTTAAGAAAAAAGAGAAAATTTATAATAAGAGAAGTATTCTTGGAGACCGACATTGAAATGTCTTTAAAATTCAGTTTCAGAAGAATATTCATCATAGTAGACTATGTCAATACATGCAAAATTCAATTCATCCTTTGGCTTTTCCTGCTAATGTTCTAATATTTTGCTGCAAACCATTTTACTCACCTATCCAAGAATGTTAGTTAAGTTGCTTTTTTCTTATTATCGTTATAAAAATCGTTATACAGTGAAAGCTGGATACAATTATATCGAGATGTTACTCTATCGAAAAAATAAATACAATGAAAGCCTATTGCAATAACGAAATCGGGGGAAGAATTTTAAGTTATTATAACAAGAAGTTATCTTACTGAAACGAGCGTTCACTGTATATATATATATCGAGGAAATTTTATTTGGGTTGTCATCATTACATCAAGATTTACGTAATTAGTCGTCGTCATGTAATTCATGTAATTGGCAATATCAATGACAAAATAATATATCATATAATATATCATATTATACCGATACGTCAAAGATCGACATCGAAATACAAAAGAAATTTGAAGAACTTTCTATCAAAATTTAATAAGACACATTGATTAATACAAATTGTAATACTTTGATCTATTTATAACAAGTGGTTTTTAATCGGCTCGGAAAAGGTGTATAGAGTGACCAACTCCGATGACAAAAAATTGGATATTACATTTTCAATCAATTATTTAGATAGTTAAAAAAAATTATTAATTTGATATAGTTAATACCCTTGGGAAAGTGACTATTGGGGGGGGGTGTGACTATAAAAAGTATATTTAAATTACATTTAGAGGGGCTCGACTGTATTTTAATTAGAATCACCACTGGATCATGAGAATTAGAAAAACCCGCTACATACATATTCAAAAAGTAAACAATTGGATTAACAAGTAACATTGAAATTATCACCGGGTGTAAAATAGTTAATAATAAAATAATAAATTGCAGGTTCAATCATTATACGTATATCGTTATTGATATCATCACACATATTAAAATGAGGTTATATTTTTAATATTGCCAAGTACAACAACAAATATCAATAACAATACCACCACTAACTATCTCTCCGACAAGTATATTCTTATACATCAAATATAAAAAATAATGGAGAGCAACACTGTTAATGACAGAGTTGCGAGAGCTTCCTCATCTGCCTCCCTGAACTCTAGCAATCCACAACGAAACACCTCAAGAAATGATAATAATAATATTTCGTCGTCAAGTTCACGTAGCACCGGGGGAGGACAAACTTCAACTGTGATTTCTACTGTTTTATCAAATGCGCCAACGTCAACGCTTGCTACAACCTCCGTGCGTGCCTCTGCTGCAGGGTCGAGACGAGTGAGATGGAATTGGATAGGGTATTTAGTGGAGAATTTTAGATCGGCTTCACGAACCTCTAAAGTTTTGTTAATACTGTCTTTGACTATGGTGCTAATTCAAGTAAGCTTCATTACCTTTCATAGACAACGAATAAATTTATTTGCTTTGTTATTCGATTGATTTCCAAATATCTTTTTGATAATTATTATATGTATAGGTTATAGTTACAGTGACAGTCCTTGTGACGTCTCGAAATCAAACATGCGACAAACCACTTCAACTTTTCCTTGAATTGTACATTGTGAGGGTGATTCTCGCGTGTCCGGTAAATGTATATTTATACTTGAATCCCAGAGAAAATAGAATACGCGGTGGGCAAAATCAGACTGAAAATGAACGAAGAAGAGATGGTTGGGTTGATCGGTAATTACTTTTATTATTCATTCATCATCATCATCATTATTTTCATCATCGTCATCATTATTAATTTGTTGAATATTCAAAATATTTTTACCTTTAAAAAAATTATTCAGCCTAAAATCATTTCTTGATTTGTTCGCTACTCTCTGGTTCATCATTGGAAATTACTTGTTATTCACCACGAACAAATGTCAGGAAACCGCACCTGCAATCTTCTATTTATCTCTAACGTGGGTTATTCTCGGCTACATTATCATCACCATTCCAATATTATTATGTCTAGCAGTGATATTCTGTCTGCCATGTGTGTTAGTAGCCATGAGAATATTGCATGTTAGTGAAACCGTAGGAATCAGTGGAGCAAGTGATGATGTTATTTCCAAAATTCCCTTGGTAAAATACAAATCGGTGGCAGAAGATGAGCTTTCAACAGTCACAATCAGTAATCCCGACACTACAATAAATGATTCAGATTCTAATACACAAACAGCACCGTCAACTACAGATACCCATGATTTGCTACAACCACATAAACCATCTAGACTTAAATTTGGATTCGGGAAAAAGAAAGTGACATCAACGACAAGTTCACCCGCGCCCCCACGATTTCTCACAATCCCAAATAAAGATGACGCGTTGTGTTCGATATGTCTGTCAACTTACGAGGATGGAGAAGACCTTCGACATCTGTGGTGTTCACATCATTTTCATAAAGATTGTGTGGATAAGTGGCTGGGATTGAATAGAATGTGTCCGATGTGTCGTCTTGATGTCGTGGAAATGTCCCAGGACAAGGCTAATCAAAAGAAGGGGAAAGACTCAAAAGATGATGATAATGATAATAATAATAATAATAGTAGTAGTAGTAGTGGTGGTGGTGGTGATGGTGGTGATAATAACAATATTAGTAGCGGTAATGGTGGTGAAGAATTTACTGCTGCAGGTAGTAGTGGTGAAAGAAGTAGTGCACCTTCTGGGTCACAGGATCAGTTTTCTGCTATTGCCGATAATAAAGTCTGATGATTCATGAAGATGACTATCATTGATAGGAAGTGAATTGAATATTGATGGTATTTGGTGACAAAAGGAATCAAAAAGATTTTACTTATTATTGATGTTTTTGGATTGCTGGAAAAATAAACTTCATTTATTTTCCTCCTTTTAATATAATTAGCAGACGACCGACTATTATTTTGCTTATCTGTCGATTTTCCTGTGTCATCATCAAACATTTATATTTTATAAAATTTTTATAAGTTTACTACCAACTACAAACAAATTACTATGTTATCGTTCTTTCTTTATTCATCATTTGGTTTCACTTTTACTCGCTCATATTTTTTACATCACATCACCCATCTTCTTTTTACTCACTCTTATTTTTTTACATTGTATATGATATTTTATTTTTCCCATCTCTTTGGATTTAGAAATTTGCATGTTTAAAACACTATCATCAACTTGTATATGTATGATTATATATTTTTATTCTGTGTTTAATGTGAGATTACAACACCAAGAAAAAGACATTAAGTAAAAAATCAGAAGAACAAGATTCTCCATTTTTTTTTACGATTCTATTCTATTATCATTATTATTTTCCAAAGTTGTTGACCAAACGAGTAATTTTTATATGAATTTGTACGTCTTTTCTAATTTTATTATTATGGCGAAAATTAAAGTGACAATGATACCGAACCCACCCAAAACAATAACCACACAGTCGATAAAAAGTCAAAAAAAGCAATGACAGAAAAATAATAAATATACATATACATACACTTCATTACGCCGATTATATCGAAACATATCTAAAACCTAGCCCAAAAAACCACTATTCAAAACAAATCAACACTGAGGAGTGCTCGTGATTTATTAATTAATTTGAATTGGGTATGATCGAGTCGCTGATCTTTTTCTATATTGCTTTCCAATAGGAAATTATTCATCATAAGATTATTGATTATTAATACAACTATTTATAGGGATTGTTGAGCCTCGGCAAATCGTTCCGCTACCGCCTTCCAATTTATCACGTCCCAAATTTTTTTCAGGTATTCAGGTCGTGCATTTTTATATTGCAAATAGTATGCCTGTTGTTTGGTTGTGCCATTGAGAATTTGGTCAGTTAGTAATCGCATCAATATAAATGCAATAAATTTATCATAATACTCACATGCTCCCAGACATCAATACCAAGAAGTGGGATATATGCTTTTAGGTGGTTATTAAAATAATATTGAAATTATTTTTAATTAGTATTTTTGCTGATGACAACAAAATATTCAACAAATTTGTTGGCTTGAGATATTAATTTTGTAATAAGCAAAGCTCATATAACTCACTTGTTAGAGGATCTTGATTTGGTAGCGTGACAATTTCGATACGCTTGGCTGCTTTATTGTATCCCTAAATAATAATAAATTTTAATTTTAGCATATATTAAAAAGATGTAATTTTCGTATTTTTTTTGAGCCTACCAGCCATCCCCATCCCGAACCTTTAATATATAAAATTAGAAATTTATTAACAAATAAAAAAATGAAATTGCATAGTGCGATGAATTAGTTATTATGTTTATGATTTTGCATACCTTGAACAGCTGCAGTTGTCGAATTAAATTTCGTGATAAAGTCCTCGAGTGTTCCGAATTCTTTTTTAATTTCACTCAAAAGAGCGCCTGAATTGATTGATTGATTCAACAAATAATTAAATTATCTAGATCATTGGTATTTAACATTTCAAACTTATTTTTGTACTGGATCACATTTGGACATATATGAAAAATATGTATACCTTTCGGTGGTTCACCGCCACCTAGCTTAGTAGGAGCAAGATTCTGCCAAAATAACGAATGATTGATATGACCTACATACATATATAATTTCCGTAATTAATTTACAAAAATAACAATAAAATTGTTATTATTATTATTATTATTATTATTATTATTATTATTATTATTATTATTATTATTATCATCATCATTATCACCTCCGCCATTAAACTTCAAAGCCGGTTGCAATGCAATCTGTGTAGCAACATCTTTATCCTGTAACGCTTGCTGATACTTCTCCTCGGCGACGTTTAAACCGTTCACGTACGCCTGGTGATGTTTCTTGTGATGAACTTCCATTATTTCAGCGGAGATAATTGGTTCAAGGGCCTTGTATTAATTGATAAAAACAGAGAAAGATCATATATATATATATATACAAAAATGAAGGAATATTGTTTCATTTATTCATTCCCCTTTCCCATTGAAGAAATGCCCATATCTCATCAACATTATATATATTATCAGTATCACTCGTTAATGTATATCATATATTACGTTATAGTCGTATGGGAGGTCCGGCAGAGTGTATCTCTCGTGGGTAGAAGCAGTAGTCGAGAAAGAAGAGGTAAAAGCACCACTGCTACGAGCCACTGCACATGCTGCTCCCGACAGGGAAGTCTTTGTGGAATGTTGTAAAGTGCGGGTTAAAGCTGTTGTCTTTGCTAATTGGAACATTAGTTATATTTCTGAAAATTGTAAATTTTAACAATTAGGGAGAATTAATTTCCAATGACTCATTCACAATATTCACAATGTAGAAAATTAAACTAATGACCAACCAATCACGGCATCATCAAAACACGTCTTCCCGTGCATCACCTTACATCTTTACTGTCTCGGTAAATTAATCTCTAAAATAATTTCACATCATGTTCTCGTCGCTAGTAGCCGAACGACCAAAACGAAAAATCAAAAAGAAGACTTTTTTCGATCAAATAGACGAAGAAACAGAAAAGCAAGACAAGCAACAGCAGCAACAACAGCAAACACACGCGCCTGCTAAACCTGCAAAGGCATCTTCTGCCTCTTCTTCCCGCAATAATAATAGTAATAATCATAATAATAATGATCATGATAATGATAATAATAATAAACGTCCGCGTAAGAAGAATTCTGGGGAACAAAAAGAAGTGCAAGTATCTTCTGTAGAAGTGAGTTTTTCATGCTTAGTTTTTTCTACCCGGGAATTTTATGCATTATTTTATTAAAAACAATGCATCTTTTCGATAATTAAAGCAAAATAAAAAATCGAAACCTTCAACAAAACGGCCGAGAGTCCAGAACAATAACAATACGAATTCTGAAGGCCTCCTCTTTACAAATTTAACTCCGAGTGACTATCGAAAGCCTAATACTAATAATACTAATATTGTTAAGAAAAAAACTAAATCTAAGGCTGCAGCAAGCAATGTCAGCCAATCTTCTCAGCAAAAAATTGCGCCCAAGCCTCGTGTTCCCATTCTCAAAATTATTTCAAGAAATTCCACGACTGACAACCCACCACCACCTCCTAATATAAGCACAGATTCTAAGGCTCCTACTCTTGTTCCCGTTAGCTTAAAGATTATTACTACTCAAACACAACAAAATAATGATGAATTCTCGCAAAATTTGACCAGTTCGTCTCGAGTATCTGTTCAAGAAAATCAACCAATTCAAGAGACACAAGAAATTAACCCACAACCCTCACAAGCCTATAGTAATGCTACGGAGCTTGTATTATCCACAAATCAACCAAACCAAAATACTTCTAATTCACAAGATCAAAATAATATTCCACAATCCTTCGATAATACTTTGGAGTCTGTAATACTCACCGAATCTCCGAGTATCAATGATTTCAATTCTCAGCAAACATATGCAAGTCGAAAGTTGCAAATCTCTGATATTATTGATATGCCCGAAAATTTCAGTAGCATTTTAAACCTGAATGAATCAAAGACAAAAGTAGACGTTCACGGAACCGGATCTCCAAGAGTTGTCATTGAAGCTCCACCTAACGAAAATAATTCAGAATCGGTTGAAGCCACTCGAATCATTAATAATAATAAAGACATTTCGAACGATAATGATAATGATAAGAAATATCAGTCTTCTAACATTGCACATGGAATGACACCTACAACTATTGAAGATGACGGCAATCATATGGAAATAATACTACCTACAGTGATGATCGAGAATAGCAGCAACAAACCAAACGATGATAATGATGCTACTAGCACAACAGGAAATTTAAAATCCAATCAAGGTGACAAGTTATTGATCAAAAGTGACACAGATCGCCTCAACTTTTTCCCAATTACGGCAACATCTACACCCAACAATTATTTGAACAATGCATCACCATCGGTGAACCAATTTCCCATGACGAGTAATAGTTCAACTACAACTACAAATACCTCAATAACTACAACTTCAACAATAACCAATAGTACTCCGTTAAGAATATCCACGCCCGAAAATGATATGAATCTCTCAACTTTAATTCAAGTTAATAATAATAATAATCACCATGTACATCTTCACAGATCGCCAAGAGACAGTATTTTCGGTGACAGTTCAAGTGAGCTTTCAACTGTACAAACTTTTTCTGACTCTAGTCAAAATAACTCTCCTATAAATTTCCGATCACCGTTTTCACAAATCCACGATGACTCATCACTTTCGTTAAATTTAGACGACGTTTCGTCACTCTCACCGAATTTTGACGATGAATCATCTTCGTCTTCCTCGCAATTTTATGAAGACCCTTTCGTTTCTTCACCGTTTCCGAATACTCTTGTCAGTGAATTGAATAATAATCCCAGCGCATTATTAATGGAAGATAACGGTTTTACGTCTTCGCCCAAATCAGCTGAAGCGCATGACAATAGATTCAAATCACCTCAATCTTTACAAGATGATGCTTTGTTGCAACCTGAAAATGAGTTGACCTCTACATTCGCAACTTCATTGACTCTATCACTCCCAAATTCACCCAAAGATAATCTATCGTCATCGCCAAGTCACGACGACAACTGCACTTGCGAAAAATGTACAACAGAGTCTGATGATATAGAGAATATGGACTTTCTAGAGAAACCTATTCCTGAATGCCTAATGGATGACGCTGAACTCGAGCAAGTCAGAGAGCCCAGAGTAGATCTCCCACCGAATGCTAACGAACTGAGTGATGCTGAGGCAATGCCATATATTGTTGCATTATGTAAACGATACTGGCTTTACAGAACTCTCGCCATGCTCATTCGTCTTGGGCATGTTAAATTGAATGATGAGGAATTGAATAGAATAAGAGAAGTGAAAGCGGATTTAGAAGGACCACAAATCTCTGAGAGTCTTCAAGAAGTTTTCAGAAAAGAAATCCATGAAAGAATGATCGTGGAGAGAGCACGATTAGAGAGAGCTAAACTTTGGACAGAGGAGGATATTTTGGAAGTGGATGGACCAGACGACAATTATGAACTCGAAGTAGGTCCCGGATCTGATTCTGAAATGGATGATGAGTATGAAGATGCTGTATCTTCGACATACTTTGAAGGTCAGGAAACCATGTTATCCCGTCAAGGAATGATCCTGAAAGAGAATGTAATGTCTCCGTCTAGTGACAATAAATCATCAAATTCATTTTAAAGATATCACATTTTTATATATAAATGTCACGTGAGATAAAATCCAAGGAAATTCAAAAAAAAAGATTACAATTAGCAACCAGCAACTAATAATAGATTTGCCTTCAGAAAACGCAAGATTTTAGATCGTTGCTATATAAAATTGTAAAATAATGTATATATATTTAATTAATATGTAAGAAAATACGAATTTGAATTACACGCGCCAAAATTTATTAAATAATTAGTCGGACCTTAAAAGAACGCTAAATGAACAAAGAACAATTTTCTATAGTCAAAATTACCTATCTAATTTGTTCTTGGTCACCAGAAAATAGACTGAACTGGACTGAGATGGACTGGGCTATTTTAAATGTTTTGGGCGAAACTAGTTTCGCCCAATTTGATCTCCAAATTAGGGTTTCGGATAACACTGGCTGTCAACAGTGACTAGTACATATGCACATACATTTTTTTGTAGTAAATTCTCTGGTACCGGCCGTGAAAAGTTTTGTGCTAAATAAGTGCAAATGCCAGTTAAATGGTAATAGCCGCTATAGAAATATAAGTCAAGTTAATCTTTTTATCGATATGAACAAGGTTCTCCTTTCATAGTAACTGAGAATAATGAAGCCAGAAAGCTGACTTATATCAAAATTTATGATCGTATAAAGTCACAAGGAACATGCGATATAATGAAATTTCGCTCGCATTTAACGAAAAAAATTATCATTTAGAAAACCATTTCACTATAATGAGCTTTGGGATACTATGTCTGGTTCGGGTCACTATGGATTTACTGTATTTTGCCGCATACAGTCAAAGCTGGATATAAAGTTGCCTTCATATAAAGATCAAGTCTTACTATAGCGATAAAATTTTTGTTCGTTAGAATTTTATAATTGAATAATATGTCTTGCGGTAAACTGTAAAATTACATCATTTGAAATTATAAGGTTAGGGTGCTGACATATATTAGCTAATATTATTTTTGATATAGGTGTCTCCTAGATAAGATCTTCTAGCCAATCAAAATGCTTACCAGCCAGCCTATGACAAATATAAACACAGTGAATACTAGGGCCCTACCATGCCTGTTGTTGAAAGAGCATTATCTTCATTCACATCCTCCCTCCAAGGTTACTACTGTTCGTAATTGTGCCTCCTTCAGTACTGCTAGAATCGCCATTCAAGAATATAATTTTTATCAGGAACAGTTACAAGATTTATATTTGCTGTCCAACCTTTACTGGACATGTTATGAACTATCATGATGTCATCAACCTCTACTTTTCTATTTAGAGTGATGTGACTCCGATGGAATTGCAACTATCAAGGATTGAAGAACATTAAATCATTATCTACAGTTCCAATAACAGCACAACTTGGTAATTTAAAAACCATCCTAAGCGAGTTTCTAATTTAACATATACGGGACCACACACTTTTATGCTTTCCATCTTTAAAGGGATTCCTACTGCACAATCGTAAAGTCACAAGGGTAATAGATCTCTATTACTAAGAGAGGTACCAAGATCAATTTGGTATTATGATCACGTTGAATTTATAACTAATTCCCGTCCATATGAACACGCTACAAGTGTGCGTTCATTCCATTTTTAAACTCGTACACTTGGAACTCATAATTAAGATCGGTACTGTCTCCAATGACTATTAAATACCCTAAAGAAGAGATAACAACGCATGCCGGGTCGGTAACCCCAATTGAGTTCGTGGTGTCCAGAAATTTTATCGAAGTTGTGGAAAAAGAAAGTTTACGGAATGAAAGAACGATCGGTTAGCTTTGTCGACCCATCCGGGATTTGATTTGCTACCAAAAAAAATGCTGATGAAAGAGCAAGCAAACGTCTATTAACAAAAATTACTACATAAAATATCCGATTTTATAAAATAATTCCAAAACACACATAATTTTTTTATCATAGGTTCTTGAAATATCTATAAAACTTGAACGAGCACACAGAAACAGTAAACTAATTTTTTGAAATAGTATAATTCTTGTTGAAATATAATTAAGGTAGTAAGTAGTCTCGCATTAGAAAATTACAAAGTATAAAGGCGACTTTAGTAGAAAATTTTGAAAAATCCGGCTTATCTATTAAATTCAGTTGATATTTTAGTATGTAAAAGAATAAAGAAAAAGCGAATGACGTTCTCGGAGACGAGGAAAAATCTGCGAAAATTCAAAATAAATATCAATCAAATCAAGAAATACTAAATCCCGAATAATTGGTTTAAATTATAACGATAACGATAACAAATCAAAATAAAATTACTAAATTACTATTATTATCGTTATCGTTATCGTTATCGTCATCATTATCGTCATCATTATCGTAATTGTTTATTTCGTAAAATCACGTGTTTATACTGAACGAATTAAAATTTCGTACATCACCCATTATTAATACCACAATGACATAAATTTGCCAGAGTATCCTCTGATTGGTAAAAATAAAAAGATTAACCCGAATTTTTCACGGATAAATTTCATCAACTGGTATGTAAAACTTGTTTCACACACATGTGCCCAAGTATAAAGACTGTCTTTTAAGTGTACCTTTATTAAGGAAATCGAATGGCGTATCGTTATAATTGCCAAGAGACCTTATCAGTGATAAAAGCAAACAAATAAATTTATTCGTTCAAATAAAATATTATTGAAGTACGCGTGGATAAGTGAGACTGTAAATGCGCATGAATAATTTGATTTTGGCGTTTTTTTTTTTTTTTTAGATCGATATGATTAAGATACAGGATCGAAAAATAAATAATTTAAGTTCTTGAAAAGTAAAGTAGTTGCGATTTAACACGTGTAATAACCAATGCAATTATTCTCAATACTTGGTCAAAAACATCCCTTTTCCTGTTGTCAATTTAAAATTGATATTATCGCTATTAATCAATTAAAAATCGTCAATATGCATACTTGTATTTTTCTTGGCAAAAAATAAATATTGAATATAGATAACATTACAACCAAAAATAAGAAATTTTTCTTCGCGTCATAGAACAAACAGGATGCTGAAGGGAGTCATAGAGGGAAAAACAAAGGTGTGATAATGGCAAAATCCACTCGTTCATTACCATTAGCAATATCGCGCGTTTTTATTCACGTGAGTAATTGTAATGCGACGATCTGTTGAAAAATTTCAAACTTTATCCGAACCGATCGGTTTCGGATAAATCAACGTATGTGAATGTATAGATAATGTTTCTTTCGTGTTTAGGGTCGAGGATTTTTAACATTCATTTGCCTTAATTAGTTGATAATCAGCAATTAATTGACAATTACAAAATCATTAATATTGTCAATTTATGCGTGATAATGATCGATACAAAATTCAGACAGCATCCGAACTATCCGTAAATATAATTTTTCCTTGATATGCTTGATATGTATCAGACATTAAACAACTATCAATTCAATTGATTACCTTATATAGCTGTTCATAAAGAATGTTTTTGTTTTTGTTACATATTTTAATTTTGCGAGGAGTATGGATCCAGATAAAGTATATATAATCGTGAGACTCCGATATCATGACGTATTGCTATTTAGATTATTGAGGAGGCCAATCAACAAACGTTTACATTGTAATTATTGGCCAAATCAATTAATTCAATGTTATCAGTACAAGTTACACTTACATTTTCGAATGTATATTTTTCCATTTATATATGCATAGAATAAAATCTAACGTGATTCTTAAATTATAACATTCTTAGTGATAATTACAGATAGATCAATCAATTTATTATTCATGCCCTCGTGGAAGTTTTCTTTATTTGTTGTGAAATCGCGTGTACACTCTATTTTGTAGATCTCCCAAGTTTAATTTTATTGCAAGAGAACGAGAGGCTTCTACGATTAATTATTATCATCTTCATTGCTGTAGTCACTATTCCACTATTCTACACATGAGTACAATGCCGTGAAAATTCTATATTGAATCCGAACATCGGATTTTTCTTTGTTCGAATACGAGGAAGGAAAAAGTGCACACGCGCGTTAAATGTCGATAGGTTTTTCCATTACACAAATAGGCGTTACATTCTGGATTCAATTTCGTCATTACTGTGTGCTGATATAATCGATTACTATTTTTTGATCAATTCATCTTCGCCATCGATGATGTACTCTTTTCTTTGTATTGTATGCAGCTATTGAGCACTATAAACAATTGCACAAAAAATACATCCAATAATGTGATTGGTCAATAGGATCTAAATTTAAGGCGAATTTTTTGTATAACATGCATGTTGAGCCGCGTGGCTAAAAAATTATGAATGAGAAAGTATTATCGTTATTACTTGTAGAAAACTAAACCATTTTCGTTTTTCAATAATAATCTGATACACGTATCATTCATTTAACAGTTGTTTCGCGGAAAATGTAATTGCCGGGGAAAATACCATACGAAGATTAGACAGCAATAGATGTCGGTGATTGATTTTCTGTTTAGAATAAATATTAATAAATAAAATCAATCACATTTTTCTTCCAGTAATTTATGCATTCATCGAGAATCTTGCATAAAGATCAAACACGCGAGATATTGATATAGACAATGTACAAATTATATGTTTCATCTATCTATCAATCTAATATTATATTCTATGTATGTGCATGTATATGCATGTATGCGATGTGTATACTTTACTATCGATCAGTTTAACCTAGACGATCTTTGCACTTTAAGATTTAAATTTTCCGAATATTTGCATTTGTTTACACGCCAAATGAAGGATGTCAATTATGTGCTCGCTCTAGCATGTACGTTGTTAATGAGTCGTTCACAAAGATCAGGAAATTTCTTACTTACGATACTTTCTCGACATCTTGTTCTGTATATACCTTTTTTCGAATTTTTTAAATCAAGCCTCGTGATATCCATTAAAAGAGCAAAAAACCCTGCCCATGGAAAATATATTGGTGATTTTCAATGCATGTGTTTATTGTTATTATTTGTGGGGAAGGGAGCAAGTAAAAAAATATTT